TTTAAATTCCTCTGCCAACGGTCAACAAACATCTCTCATGCTTAATACAACAGTTTAGTGCGAAAGCAGCAATCCTGGGTCATGCATCGAATGTTTTCTGCTCTGCTCAGCCTGCCCTCCTCCGGGTACTGAGGTGGTCTGGGCCGGGGGTGGTCCCCGGGAGTAGGAGGACCCCAGGCCGAACTCCCGGGGCAGCAGCCACTGTGTTCCTGCTCGCAGGGCCCCAGCCGTCACTGTCCCAAACCTGATGCACACGGTGGACTCTCAGAGCCCTCCCGAGGGCCTGGCCTGGTGAGGCTGCCCACCTCACTGCCCAGGAGCCCCAGGGCCCTCCCCAGGACCAGCGCCCTCAATGAGCAGTGCCCTTGGAGAGGACCAGTGCCGCCAGGTCTCCACTCCCACCCACCTCCTCCTTCTGACTGGAGTCAATGTCGCTCATTGAAAAAGCCGGGGAGTGTCTTCATCTTGAAGGGTACCTGCTGGTTTCCGGCCTGAAAGGGCCGCGTTTCATACCAGTCTCTGCAGGGGACGCCCGTCACGGTCTCCGCTACTCCAGTTGGCGATCCCTGGGCCTGGTTGCGAAGAATGACACAGAGAGGACATTCGTGTGGAACCTGCAGGCGTCTTGTGCTGATTTCCGGTGGTACGCGTCTCCTCGTGCAGAACCCCATGGCCATTTAGGACAGAGACGGGGAGTCACAGGCAGTGGCCACGATCCAGCTGGAGTGACCGAGGTCCTTCATGAACAAGGACCCAGTGGATGCCTCGCCAAAGGAGAGGCCGACGGACGCCACCTCGGGACGATCTTAAATTCAACCTGGACGCCTTTGGGCCTTTTTAAGTCTCTTGAGCATTTTTATATAGAAATAAACTCAGGCTCCACAGAAAAACAAAAGAAAAAGGGAAAAGCCGGAGACCCACTTAGTGACGGAAGTCCCAGCGCTGTACCCCTCGCTCTGAGACCCCGGTTTCAAATGTCCCCCCGCTGAGATCTTTGGAGACAAAGGAGCCAGACGATGGGCGGGGACCCCTCAGATACCAGATCTTAAGGCAACCAAGGAGTCAGAAAGGGGGGTACACCTCTCTCTGTATCTGAAGGGAACTTCCGCCCGCAATGCCTTTGGGACGAATAGCAGGAGTGCTGGCGTGGGGCTGTGCCCAGGGTCTCGGGCAGAGCGCAGAGGCCTCGTGGTGATGGGGACATTCGGGGGGCTGCTTCCTAGCCTCAGAGGAAGGCTGCTGTAAATGTCAGCGTTGCCCCAAGAGGCCAGGCAGCTGTGCAATATATACGGTCCTCAGAGCCCTCGCCGGTGTGGCTCAGTGGATAGAGCGCCGGCCTGCAGACTGAAGGGTCCCAGGTTCGATTCCAGTCAAGGGCAGGTACCTCGGTTGCAGGCTCCTCCCCAGCCCAGGCCCTGGTCGGGTGCACGCAAGAGGCAACCAATCGATGTGTCTCTCTCCCATCGATGTTTCTGTCTTTCCCTCTCTCTTCCACTCTCTCTAAAAATCAATGGAAACATATCCTTGGGTGAAGGCTAAAAAATAATTTAAAATATACGCCCGGGAAAGTGCACACCGGTCCTGCATTCCGCCGCCTTCCTGAGAGAGAGCCCTGGGCGGTGGGAGGCAGGGCACCAGGAGCCCGGATGGTCAGGCCTGTGCCCGCTGCCCGCTGTGGGGGCCACAGGCTGCACACGGGGCTGGAGAGGCCGCCTGGAACCGTCTCCCATGACTAGGTCATTCCCTCCCGGTCAGATCGCTTTCATCAGGGGCGTTACCCTGGTTAGAAAGGGGACAGGCAGGCCTGTGGAGCAGCGGTTCTCAACCTGTGGGTCACGACCCCTTTGGCGGTCGAACGACCCTTTCACAGGGGTCGCCTAAGACCATCCTGCAGATCAGATATTTACATGACGATTCATAACAGTAGCAACATGACAGTGATGAAGTAGCAACGAAAATAATTTGATGGTTGGGTCACAACATGAGGAACTCTATTTAAAGGGCCAGAAGGTTGAGAACCACTGGAAGGTCTTAGCTTGCTATGAATTAGAGCAGTGATGGCGAACCTTTTGAGCTCGGCGTGTCAGCATTTTGAAAAACCCTAACTTAACTCTGGTGCTGTGTCACATATAGAAATTTTTTGATATTTGCAACCATAGTAAAACAAAGATTTATATTTTTGATATTTATTTTATATATTTAAATGCCATTTAACAAAGAAAAATCACCCAAAAAAATGAGTTTGCGTGTCACCTCTGACACGCGTGTCATAGGTTCGCCATCACTGAATTAAAGGCGAGGAGGCTAGGAGTGAGATGCGATTGGGAACTTTTTAAAGAGATTCATTCTACAAGGAAAGCCCGAGCTTGCTCGCCAGCAAAGGACAAACTGCGGGGGACTACATACGAAAGCAAGGCGGGGAGCCTGACCTTGGATGTGACTCTGAATTCCCTTCTCACAGAAACTGCTGAGTAGATGGACCAGGCTACTCCTCCGCCAGCCCAACAGAGCATCCTCTTGATATAATTTTCCGTACGAGAATGTCCCCGCGGTGTAAAGGTCAGGGGATTCGGTGGCCGATGAGATGCCCCCGGCCCGTGGCTTCTCTGATGGCCAGGGCCTCCTGGGAGGGTGACGCACAGCCACAGGCTGCTGAGTCCCTGCTCTGAGCTGCCGACCCCCAAACACACTGTGTGTGGCACGAACCTGGCTTCCCTCCCAGGTCCATTCTTGTCCCTGAAAGGTGTCCTGTGCTGAGACAGGAGAGGTGGCCATGGGACGGCCGGGCGCGGTCCCTGGCGTCAGCCCTATGGCTCTGCGCTCCCGGCGGAGTCGGGGAAGGGAGGACCATCCCGTGTTGGCGCCCACGGGACCTCCCGGACTGCTGGCCGCGGTGGGAGGGGGCAGGGTGTTTTGGTGGCTTCTCCCTGAATTCCAGGACATTTTCTTCCCAAAGAGGCACCTGAAACTGTGAGAACGTCCCTTCTCCCTGGGACCTCGGTGCTGGCGCTCCCAGGTGACACCAAGTCCGGGCTGAGCGTGGGCATCTTCTCTCCAAAGACGCAGAGCTTTGATGGTGCTGGGAGCTCCCCGCCTCGCATCTGGGTTCCACTGTAGTAAAAAGCCCCCTCCACCAGGCAGCCCTGCCTGATTTCCCAGCTGCACTCCTATTCCCAGGGCACTGGCTTCGTCGTTTCCAGAAGACGTTAATCAAAGCCGGTGCAGCTTGCCCTGCCGGCCATGGCTCTGCGGGCCCAGGAAGCCGTGGGGCCTCTGTGTCCCCCGTCTTCAGGAATTCCCCCCCCCCCGCAGGCTGAGTCCACCCAGAGCAGCGGCGAAGGAGAGAAACTGAGGACCGTGGGTGCCAAGCAGAGAGGCGGCTGCACAGATGAGGACCTGTGGCCACCCGGGGTCCCCTGGTGGCCAGGACCTTGGTGAGCGAGGCTTGAACACAGCACCAGACAGCTCCTGAGGCCACCGGGCAGCTGGCCCAGCTGGCCACCCTGTGGCCGAAGCAGGAGCGGGGGCTCGAGGTAGGATCGTAGTCGTCGGATCTGCTGACCAGAGGCAGGGTCTGCAGGGCGCTAGCGTCACTCGGAAAGCAAGGGCGGTGTCTGACAAGCGGCCGGAGCCGAGTGGACACCGTTGGTGCCGGTGTCCGGGCTGAGTTATAGAAAAATCCAATCCAGCAAAGAGACTAGTCGCTCCCCGGCCTCAGAAAGAAAATGCTTGTAAAATATATTCCTGCAAAAAGGAGGGAGGTGTACGTCCACCTGCAGAGGGAGGTGCGGGGGACAGGAAGCGGGTGAGGGAGGAGTGAGCTCTTCTTCTGAGAGATGGACCTGACTCCAATGGGTCTCCAGGCAGAAGGTGGGTGCTCCCAGCAGGGAGGGAAGGAGGGGTGGGTGCTCCCAGCAGGGAGGGGAGGGAAGGGGTGGGTGCTCCCAGCAGGGAGGGGAGGGAGGAGGTGGGTGCTCCCTGTGGCCTCAGCACACCAGGCTTGTCCAGGAAGCTGGGGGACAAGGAACAGTATTGCTGCCTCTTCAGGGGGGTCCCGTCTGCCCAGTTGCCATTGCGGCCGCTCCTTGCTCATGATGCTTTCATGATGGCAGACAGCTGGGTCTCAAAGCAGCAGTGGCCGGCTCTCAGGGGCTCCCCGGGGTCTTCATCTTCTGTGGGTGCGTCTGAGCGGGCACAGCTCGGGGGAGCAGCTGGGACAGCTTGCAGGTCACTGGGGAGCCCGTTCCAGAGAAGCCACCCCCAGGTGGAGGCGCGTCACCTGGTCACTCCAATTCCGGTTCCAGGGTTTCCTTCTGTGTTTAGGAACTAAGGACCGAGTGGGTTCACTTCAGCAGACGATTGTGTGTGTGTGTGTGTGTGTGTGTGTGTGTGTGAGAGAGAGAGAGAGAGAGAGAGAGAGAGAGAGAGAGGCTGGTTTGATGGGGGACCTAAGGAAACCATTTAGAAGGCGTTTGACAGCTCAGGGAGAGGCTGAGGATCGCATGAATGCGTAGCGCCCTTTCCTACGGATCCTGGGTTCGTCTGCAAGTGGCAGAACTCACTGAAGCTCCAGGACCCAAAAGCTCAAGACCTTCTCCTGCCCAAGATGGGAACCTGGCAACGGGCGGGCCCTGGGGCCACGGGGCCACAGGGTCTCCTGCTCCTGCTCTCAGGACCACAGTCACCAAGTTTGCCTTTCTCTCCGCCTCCACCCTCCTCCCCACAAGACAAGCTTTGGGAACAGACGGCAGGAAACCATACACCCCGATCCCTTCTCGCTCCCAGGAGCAAGGTCCTCTGTGAGTACTGAACCGTCCGGGGGGACCCAGGCGAGCTCACCCCCGCATTCCCCACCCACAGCGGCCTCGGCAGGCCCAGCCTGCGACCCATCCTCCGTCCCCCAAAGCAAACACGTCTCGAAGATACTCAGGGGGCGACATGGTCACCCATCGGCCCGCGTGGTTGTTGATCTCAGCGAGGGGTGGCGGGCTCCTCCCAGACGCCCTTGTGGGGCGGGAGTCGGGGGGGCTAGTTGCCGGCCAGCTTGGGCCGCCCCAGGTGGGTTGGCACGTCCAGTCCTGTGTGCAGGGTGACCTGGAAAGGAACGGAGGGTGGGTGAGGGGGGCGAGGCTGCCCCTGAGCGCCCAGGGCACACGGCCACGTGCGACCCTCTGCTGCCGGTGCCCACAGGCAGCTGTGTCTCCATCGTGGGACTGTGGGCTCAGGTCACTCAGGCACGGCCCACGCACATGCCCCCAGGAGCGGGTCTGCGCCTCTCTCCTCGGAATGAGAACCACCCGGCCGCCCAGATGCCCCTTGGACGTCCCCCGGGCAGCAGGGGCAGCAGCCAATGGCCCCGGGGAGCGGGCGAGGTACCTGCACGTTGCGGTTGAGGCTGAGAGCCGGCATGAAGACCCCGTCCACGTGGCTGAAGGCCGTGGGGCCCTGCTGCTGGCCGTTGATGAAGAAGGTCAGGGTGTGCTGGGTCAGGTCCAGCAGCACGCCCACGGTGGCCCCCTTGCACACGCCGCCTTCCGTCCTGCGGAGAGAAGCCCCCGTGGGGCCGTCACCACACCCAGCCCGGGATGTCGGGGTGGCTCGGGGACAATCGCCTAAATATAGAGGGTGTCCCAAAATTCACGCAAGAAGTAATCTTGATAGAAAACACAGGTTTATAACTAAAAATTGTAAACTTTTTATTGATTCATAAAGCACACAGTCTAGGGTTATGTATAGAATAGCACATCGGGTCAACGGCCTCCACGGCTTTGCTGACACATCCGCAAAGCCGTGGTCTTCATTGGTCTTCATTGTCCCTGCTCCTGGGCCATCATTGGTACTCGGTCATGCTTATCAAATGGAAGGGATTGAAATCAAAGGGCAACAGATATTAGAATCTGATTCAATAAACCCAGTAAAATTAGGCTTTTATTTTTTGTTGTTGTTGTTGTTATTGCTCACGCAAAATTCAAATCCTGCGTGAATTTTGGGACACCCTTTACCTATGCTGGCCGGGCCAAGGGCAGAGCGCACCTGTTGGTGTGGGAGTTGCAGTGCATGAACCAGCTGCGGTTGTTGTCCACGTACATGGCCCAGGCCTTGTCGTCCTTGCCCAGCATCATGTCCTTGACCACGCTGGCCCGGGCCACCCCGAAGGCGGGGTCCGGGTGGTTGTCGTAGCGGTCCACGTGCAGCTCCCAGTAGTGCACGCCCTTGGAGAAGGCCGCCGTGCCCAGCACCACCCGGTCGTCGTAGCTGCTGCAGGTGGCCGTCTGGTTGTCGTTGGACAAAATGATGTCCCGGTGCCCAGAGTTGGGGTCAAAGGTGAACCAGGCCACTGGAAAGGAAGGAGGCGGGGGGAGCCGGTCAGCGGGGGGCGGGGGAGAGTTGCTAGCAGGCTCTCACCCGGGCTCGGAGACAGAGCCCGCACCTGTCTCTCCCCGGAGACCCCCGTGCTCACCGTCCGACGTCTGCAGGACCACGGTCTTGCTGTAAGGCCCGACGCCGGAGGAGCTGAAGGCCTTGACCCTGGCGTTGTAGGTGCTGTTGAAATGGAGGCCGTCGATGGTACATAGGGTCTCCTTGCCCACGTACACCTCCTGAAAGAGAGCCGGGGACACGGCCGGCACCTGTTACCTGGAGGGTTTCTCTCGGCGGCATGTTGACATTGAAAGTGTCAGAGTGATGCCCGGCCGGTGTGGCTCAGTAGTTGAGCGTCAACCATAGGAACCAGGAGGTCACGGTTCAATTCCCGGTCAGGGCACATGCCCAGGTTGCAGGCTCGATCCCTAGTGTGGGGCGTGCAGGAGGCAGCCGATCCATGATTCTCATCATTGAAGTTTGTATCTCTCTCTCCCTCTCCCTTCCTCTCTGAAATCAATAAAATATATATATTTTAAAAAGCCTTATTCCTGCCTCAGGGCCTTTGCACCTCATCACTCTGTCCTTGGAGCCAATACCCTCTCTGGTGGCATCAGAGCGACGGGCGGCCTCTCAGGCTGGCCCAGAGGTTGGGGCAGTGAGAGCCACTCCCAGCCTGGACCTTCGGGCCCCCCAGACCCGCAGGGGGCTCACCCGGAACTGCCCCCCGTCGCCGTCGTCCAGCTCCAGGATGTAGCCGTCCACGGGGCTGTGGGTGAAGGGCGGCAGCCTCCAGGCCAGCGTGACGCTGTTGTTGCGGGTGCAGCACTTCTCCAGCTGCAGCAGGGGGCCGGGCGGCACTGCGGGGACAGGGACAGGGTTAGAGCGCGACCCCTCCTCGGGGCACCGGGCCCCTGTGGCCCCCTCCCCATCCCAGGGCCCGGCCCCCTCCCCCTCATCATCCCAGGCCCCCAGGGAGGAAACCTGGCTGAACTCTTTACCAGCCACCCCTGCAGCCACTCCCAGCCTGTCCTGTGCACCCCTCGCCCCTGGGGTCTAGACTCCAGGTGTGCAGGTGAGGGCAGGCACAGGGTGTCCAGGCACCTCGGGGCCACAGCAGGTGCCTCCCCCACCCACCCAGCCACCCACTGACAATCACTGGCTTTCCACTGTTGGACTGGAGGATCCGTGGGAATTCTAGCTGACCCTGGGGGCCAGCGCACAGCTTACACGTGGGGCTGGGATGGTGCTGGGGGGGTGGGGTGGGGGTGGGGCTGTAAAATGCAGACATTTAAGCCTTGTGCTGGGAGCATATTTTATTTTATTTTACTTTATTTTATAAGAGAAAGTTTATTCAGAGAGTCACAGAGGTGGAAGAAGTGAGCCAGCTGGGCTGCGTGGGCTCAGGAAACAAGTCACAGAGGCAGAAGAGGGGCCCCTGGAGCTTAGGAGGGAGGAAGGCAAAGGTCAGGGCCTGGGGGAGGACAGGAGGACGGGACAGTGTCTCTGAATGAACAAGGATGCTCTCTTACTAGTGGGACAGCTCGGGCTCAGGCCAAGGGGCCTCCTGCCCGGGGCCACCCAGCCAGCGGGTGGCTGAGCTGGGACTTGAGCTTCCTCTGTGACTCAGGCGTCCCTCCCCTCCCGTTCCACCTCCCTCCGAGTATCATGACCTGGTAGTGCAGGGGTGGGGAACCGTTTTTCTGCCAAGGGCCACTTCGATATTTATAACATCATTTGCAGGCCATGCAAAATTATCCATTTAAAAATTAGCCTGCTATGCCCACCCAGCACGGATCAGTGGTTGAGCGTTGACCTATGAACCAGGAGGTCATGGTGCGATTCCCGGTCAGGGCGCATGCCCAGGGTTGCAGGCTCCATCCCCGGTGTGGGGTGTGCAGGAGGCAGCCGATCCATGATTCTCTTTCATCATGGATGTTTCTATCTCCCTCTCCCACTCCCTTCCTCGCTGAAATAAATTTTTAAAAAAATTTTAAAGAAAATTAGCCTGCTATATTTGGTCAAGCATTTAGTGAACTCACCCCTAATGCCTTGGCAGGGCCAGACCAAAGGATTTCTCGGGCCTTCTATGGCCCGCGGGCCGGACGTTCCCCACCCCTGTAAGCTGCCCCTCAGAGGGGCCACCTGTTCTGAAAGCAGCCCTGCCTGAACTGGCCAGTCCCGGCTCACCCCTACATTTCATCTGGATGAAGTCCAGCTGGTGGATGGCCTGCAGCAGCGGCTCACTGTCCAAGGTCAGGTCAAACTCCGCGGACACCTTGGGCTCCAGGGCACCTTTGACCCACTGCTCCTGAGACACCTGGACTCGCTTGATCAGGGCGTCCGAGATCTTAAAGGGAGCGCGGAGGTCAGGGTTTGGATTTGCAGAGGAAAAATCATGCAGCGAGTGATGAGGGAGGCGTTGGGGGCTTGTCCCTGTACCCAGGGGGCAGGACGGGGCTGCCCTCGGCTAGTGTGAAGCCGTGGACGAGAGGAAATGAACCCGACCAGTGGGACAGGCGGAACATGCAAACGCACTGTGTGGTTTAAATCCTATCTTAAGCCCGGCTGGTGTGGCTCAGTGGTTGAGCCTCGACCTAGGAACCAAGAGGTCCAGGTTTGATTCCCGGTCAGGGCACATGCCCGTTTGTAGGCTCCATCCCCAGTGGGGGCATGCAGGAGGCAGCCGATCAGTGATTCCCTCTCATCATGGATGTTTCTCTCTCTCTCGCCCCCTCTCCCTTCCTCTCTGAAATCAATACAAATAAATAATAAAGATAAAAAAAGATGAGGACTCAGGTCTTCTGGAACCCTTGAGCAAAGGACTACTCAACTCCAGGCCGCGGGGAAGGGGCCTTCCTAGCGGAGTTTGGGGAGCGGGGTGGGGCTGGGGGAAGGGGGCGAGCCCACCTGGGCCCTGGGAGCGGGCTCACCTGGAGGGAGCCGGCGGGGTCGTTCTCCTTGATTACCTCCAGGCAGTACTCCATCAGCCCCGTGGACTGGCGCAGCTTCAGCGTGCAGGGGTTGATCTGGTCCCAGACCATCTGCGGGGAAAGAGTCCCTAGTCACCCCCTCATCATCCGAGGAAGAGCAGCCCGGCTGCGGCGGAGAGTCACAGAGAAAGTTCTGGAAGGAGTGGCACTGGGTCCGGCCCGCCGTGAACCCTCTCTTCTCGCCGTCCTGCTCCTGAGCTCCGCGTGGCCCTCGTTACTGGGGATAAAATGGATCCATTCCCAACAGTGGGCCACAGCCCCCAGCAGAGCAAACGTCCTGAACTCTGGGGTAGATGAGCA